TGCATTGCAAACTAGTAAGAGAAAAAATAATGAAAGAAATGAAAGTGTTAATTAACCTAGAGCAGAAATAGAAGGAAATTAGTTTTTTTAAAACACCTTGTTTAACATATATATATATGTATATATATTATATCTCATATATATTCAAATCAACATATTTCAAAGATATTTGTCACCCTAGGTTGAAGTTTTCCATGACTCACAGGAATTTTCTTTGTGTTTTATAACCCTATCTATCTATCTTTCTCCTTTTTCCCTTTCTTTATATCATATACCTATTTATTTCTATGTTAATAGATAACTAACACTCCTTAAAGTAGCATTATATGTACTTATTTAATCAATATTTAATATGTATTTTAAGTTTCAATACTGTGAATCAACCACGTGTCACATCAATCCATCATTTTACTGCATTTGAAACCTCAATATTAGCAGTTGTAGTATAAGGACATATGCATTCATCTTCAAAAATAATACAAGGCAACTCTGTGGAATGTTCCCCAGTAAGTATCTACATTATGGCCATTGCAAATGAACCTCTAGGGCTACTCATGGCCTAGTTAGTGGTCCAATGTGAAGATCTTAAACCTATTATTTTAAAACTTAATTCACATATTAAAGATGTTATTCATATAAATTATTTTTATCACCGTTTGAAAAGAAATAAAAAACTGTATTTCCTCAAATTAATTTGAAAAAATATATATAAGGAAAAAATAAATAGTATTCATAAGAAACAGTATATGAATCTACTATACTAATGGATCAAACCCAATACTGGCATTTAGTACCACAATTCAATTTAGCAATTATAGTCTGTTTTTTTATGAATAATTCAAAAAATTCAAGTTAGTAGTCTGTACAGAAAATGAAATGTTGGACAATATTTTCTTATGCATTTTTATATATCTGTGTTACCCATCAAATTATAATTTCCAAGTTTTTTGTTCAATTTTAAAACTGCCAATGTTTGCCAAGGCATTTTGTGCACATGCAGTGGTTGCTCAATAAATATTCATTCCCTTTAATTCAATCTAATTTAAGTTTAATTTAATTTAATAAGTTTGAGTTAAGATGATGCACAAAATTATTCCTTGTTGATTTTAAAAAATGAACATATGCTAAACAAAACTTTAACTTTTTTTTTCCCTATTGCTTCTAAACAGTTCATCTCTAGTTATTAGTAAGCCCCCATTTTGGCTGTCCAATGACTACCAATGTTGCGTGTAACCGTTTCCATTATGGTATCAGCATGTTGTGTGTAGTCCCCCGCCCCCTGCCGCCGCCACTGTTAAATGGATACAGTACCTGTCTCTTGTTAAGTTGTTGCACTTACTGCAGAGAACTCACAAGTTATAGGGCTCCTAGCTCACATGGCTTCCCACTTTATCACATGAGCTACATGTCCCAGGTGACTTCAAGCCAAAGGCTTTTCTGCCCATCCAGATAGAACTCGGGACTTTTCACAGTTTCTCCTGTCTGATAATACTGTGATCCACTCAGTAGGTGAAAGCACCTACTGAAATGCTATTTCACCAAAAAAGGATGCAGAGAAACAGTCGACAGGGAACGTCCAGGTCTGGGTGGGACTCTGAGCACAGGGCCTTCTCAGAACTTATACCAGGACTTCTTTGCACAAGTACGATGAATTAAATAATTGGCCATGTAATTGATATTGTAGGCTTTAACTCCTCTGCTGCTTGCAGGTGGGAAGGGCTTAAAGGACCAAAGTCACGACCTTCTAATCATATGATTAATTTTTCCTGGTGACTAGCCCCAACCTGAAGCTCTTCCACGAGTCTAAATCTGGCAGGAGTAACAGATACAAATAATAAAACACACCTCCTCATATAAAAAAAATCCTAAAATATTTTAAAACCTAAAGCCAGATGACAGGGGCAAAGATCAAAAACATATTTTTAATAAGCCACACTCTTCATTTTACATTACCATTACTTAGTGAAGGGACAATAATGCCAAAACCTCAGGTGGAACGATATATTATGGACAGGATAGTTAACTAGAATGATAACACCTGTGGAAGCTCTGCTATGAAGATCATCACACCAACCCCATCACAACCAATCTACCACTTTGAGACTGCAGGGGAACAGACAAGACTTAGCAACTGCAGGACATAACCAAGGACCATCAAGACCTTTTTGAGACAAATCCTCAAAATCACACTTTGAAAGTTGCTATGGACCAGTGATGCTTCTCTGTGTTCAGCTCCGTTTCTATTTTGAACCTGAAGCTATTGCTGTGATGATGAGCTCAGAACTCACATTGCCACCTTTGTACTTGCTAAAGCATCAGAACCAGGAAAATCTCTCTGGCTTTCTCTTGCACTCTTCCTTTAAGGAAAATCATAGAATCCACCGAGGTGAATCATTTTGAGAGTACTAGATAATACTCTTAGTCTAAGGTCAGCATAATGGCTTAGTGGATAAAGTGCTTGCTACAGAAGCCTGGCAACTTCAGTCAGACCCCAGGAACCAACAGAGGAAGGAGAGAACTGACCATGTTGCCTTCAGTAAGGCACATAGGTAACACATATGCCTGCCTATATGTACACACACACACACACACACACACACACACACACACACACACACCAGATACTAGTACATAAGATAAACATTTAAATTAAAAAAAGACTCATTCTATAGGTTTCTTTATAGATTCAGATCATAGAGACACAGAGGTGCCAGGACAAATCTTAAACAGGCATTGCAATATTTCCTTCATTTATACCTTGACGGCCTGAGTACAGTTTATTATTAAACATCATTTATTGTCATTGAGCTTTATTGGAGTCTATTTTAAGATTGTTATTAATAAGACAAAGAACTCCAAGAAAGGACTCCACTTTCTCCTTCCTGTATGATCCACAAGATCAATATTTAATATGTAGAAAGCGCTACTTCACCAGAAAAATCTCCCATGCCTCTGCAAAAATCCCAACTCCAACTTTCTGTCATCCAATCAACAAGCAGCTTTTCCACTTTCTCTAACTTCAATACCCTAACAAGTTTTCCACTCTTGACCCCTTTCCTGGACAATCTCATAGTAAATCTTCCTTTTAACCAAATGGGATTACACAGAATGGATTTTTATGGGTGTCTAGCAGAGGGCCCTTGTTCAGTAACAGAATTTCTTGTTTGTTGCAAAGATATACAAGTTTTAGTTTTCCCTATCTATGAAAAGAGGTAGAAAATTGGTTGCTATACACTTTAAATGTATGTCATTGTTTATTAAAATGTTACATATAAATAACTGATATATCATTTGTAATCTTAGTGCATTATGTAATACGACACACTTGCTTTTGCTATGGATATCCAAATAAAGTTTTCTATAATATTAGACAGGATTTATAAGATGTAAATAGGTTTCATTTTTAATTAAATGCTTAAAAATGATTAAAAAATCTCCATTTGTTTTCGTCTTTTTTATACTTAGTTCAAAAACATACAATTACACAGGTTTAGCCACGCATAAATGCTGAAAATATTATTCACAATTATGACATTTCTTCATCAAATGTTTTTGCAAATAATTTATGATAGAGATTGGGATCATGGTTTGTGACAATATAAGCAAACATTGTCTTTTTTGTATCATTCAAATAGTTATTAAATTAAATATTAGGCTGTTTCACCTTCTTATGAACCATAATCTTTACATGACATTATTTACTTCTTAGCATCATTTTCCAGATAAGGTTTCAAGGCTAGAAACAAGAAAATAATTAATTCAGGTTCCATTACTGAGATGTGTGGAGAGTTGGCTTCTGACTATAGAACCTAGACTTTTCACTGCTATGTCATCTCTCCTCAATTGTCAGGACGATGCTAAAAGTACATGTCACAACCAGTTCCTCCCAGACTCCTAGTTACTGGATTTGTTTATGGAAGCTGGGTCAATTTGACCCCCAGTCAAAGATCTTTAAAGTGTTAAAAGTGATGTGGCATCCTGGAAGTTGTTTGCTCTAAACACTCATGGCTCTAAGTTTCCCATACGTCATTTATTTGAGAGCTGTATAATCTTGAAAGACTAATTTAAACCATGTCAATCTCATTTTCCATATCAGTAGGTAGAGAATACCAATGATTTCTTCAAACTTAAAGAACAGTAATAGTAAGAGGAGTAGACTAACATAGCATATGTGTTAGCTCTGGAGATTCAATTACATAGAGAATACCAAAGGCACTTCAGTGCCACATATCTTTCAAAAGTTCAGTCAGTGTCTGTCATAGCAGAGAAACCCATCACTGAGGTCAGATATTCTGACTCTGTTCACCTTGTGCTTGCCATAAACAACACATAAGTAAACTGTCGTTGATGTATTTGCATTACTAAGTTTGGTGATCAGCAAAACTCAGGCAGCTTCTGTTAGCTTGACCATTGTGCATTGTCTGCACTTGAGTGGGCTAATCACATGTGAGCTGAAACATTGATCTTTGCTCTTGACATTTGCAGAACTGTTTTAGCATCTTCTGACTAAGTATTAGTGAATCTCCTGAGTAGGCAACCACAATCTGATGTGCATTGCTGAGTCATAAAGCCACCCCTCTGAGAATTTGCCTACAAGTCTACAATCACCCAAGAATTGAGAAGCCATGGACCACACTCAGCTTAGCCCTGAGAATGGAAATCAAACTTAACGTCTACAGAACATGACTGTAAAATCATCGATCTGTTTAGTATTCTAATGACATAGCCCTAATTAGGCAACTTCTTTGAAACACTCTCATTAAATCAAATTTCCAATCCTTAGTGCATTTTGTGTCTGTTTTTCATACTCTGGTGTCCTACCACAGCTCTGTTGAAGTGGTAGTCTCCCTTGCCTAGATCAGGGGCAAACCTGGCTTTGTCTCAGGTTGTGCTAATGTTACGACTGAAGCCAGAAATCACCAAAGCATATTATTCTTTTAAGGTATATATCTCCCGTTGTTTGTACCCAAATGGACAAGCTTTCTTAATTTTAGTCTTACCTTTTCCAGTTTTGAAAGTGCAAGAGAGTAACAGTCCTTGGCTCTGAACTGCATGAATCTCATATTTGCTGGGTGAGTAAGCTCAGTGATAATACTGAGACTGGAAAACAACCTAAATTAAAGAAAAATTGCATCACACTAATAATCTAATATGGCATGTTTTTATAATAACATATTTATGAATGAATGATTCTTAGTCTGAAGCATAAAACTACATCCAATTACAACTGCAGGCACTGCCACATAAAATGATCTGTAAAACACAAGAAAAATGGAACGCTATCTTTTAAAATATTTTAACCAACATATTAGTACTGCAAGAAAAAATAAATTCAGCAATTTTCCTTTTATTAGACATTTTATCTCCATAATTATGAAACAGCATGGAAGAGAAACTCATAAAGTTGATTTAAGAAGTTATTAAGATTATTTTGTGGGTGATATTAAAATAAAATATATGACTATTTAGATTGCTAAAAAATTCACATGATGCTCTTCTTGTCCGTTCTATGAGCTTTTCCAAAGCTATGGCTTCCTAGCCTAATAACATAGTCTTTCTAAAGGTCAAATCTTGGTAAAATTAGCCCCTGTGGTAAGAAAATACCATACTTTAGGTAAATTTCATCAATGAACTGGTGTCAAGGTTAAAGCATTAATAAAGACATTAAAAACGAGCTAAGTGTGTTTACACTAACTACTCTTCCTATGTCCCTTTTATATGTTGAAAAGTTCACATATCCACACACATACCCTTGATTTCTTTCACCCTCATAGTGAAGGACATCATGATGGTACAAGAAATGCCTGTATTTCTGCTTCCATTGCTGCTCTGTTCCATTGGATCTTCATGTCTCACTTATAGTTTTTCTGATTTTAATACTTTGGGATTCTCTAGTAGTTATTTCCTATGGTAATATGCTTCCTTTCCCAAACAATGCCTTTAAGTTAAACTAAGCTAATATCAATTAGAATACCAGTAGTAGTTTGAACTCATCCTTGAACTCAAGGACAAGCACAAACTGAAAAGTGTGAGACATAAGTCATTTGATTAGGGCTCAAAAATAAATCAGTTTTATTTCCTATTAACAATGCTGAGGGAACTGCTTCAGGGGCTCATTGCTTGACAGCACTTTACAAAGGAATGTACTTGTTTTTAAAAGAGGAGCCCTATCCCTGAGCCATAGTACTGAAAAGGGTTTTTACATTTCCTGAGATCTCATTTCCTGATGCTGATGGAAGACTTGCTGAAACATCTCCCACCTACCAGGTAATGGTGGCAAGCTAAAACTTCAGCAGCATGCAGGGACCTGTTCCCAGATGGGCAGATGGTTCATTTTGACTCCATTTCAGATCTCTTTGCAAGGGCTCCCTTGACCATTCAAGTCAACACACTAAACTGTTTTTCAGAACAGTATCCTTCATAGCTCTATGTGAAACATGTACATCTTTTATGTACATTCTTTACCTAGGTGGACCTTAGGAACCTTGATATCATTCATGCCTTATAAACTGGAGAAATGTAGACAGTATTATGCCTTCATCTTAGTTTTGATGACAGATCTTATTTCTTTGCCTAAATAACATTTAACAAGCATGAAGTAAATAGTACCAGTAAACAATTTTAACCTGATTATAATTCTCTTTTATGAGGTTTAACATAAAAACATAATCATTTTATTTGTGTAACATATCATTGTTTTGAATGTCTTATAAGGAAGGGAGTCCAGAAGATTGTGGGTGGTTTGTGAAACATTTAGCCAAGTGGCAGGAAATAGTATTTCCAATGAATTTAAATGTTTTTTATTAATTATTATTATTATTACTATTATCATTATTGTGTATGTGAGAGAGAGAAAGAAAGAGACAAAGAGAGAGAGAGAGAGAGAGGACAGAACAGCATGCCACTCACATGGCAGGCCCCTTTCTGCTGAGCCACATCACTGTTATATCTTACAGAGGCATTACTGTTTTTTCAGCTTTTTTCCCCTTTTCTTAGCCTTTCTTCCTAAGATGCCATGGCTTTCTTGTTTGCTGTTCTCTTCAACCTTTTAAAATCAAAGCCTTTTTTTAAATTTCCTCTGGAATCCAGTTAAGATGAGAAGTTTTAAATCTTTTGATGTGACAAACCCTCCCTAAAGCTCCCTGGCATTTGGATTTTCACACTATCTATTGCCCTAGACTGAGGGATTTTTCTCTTAGAAAATAGCAACATCTAGAAAGGCCAGGTGCTCCATTCAGAGCCTACGTCTGCCTATCTTATTATCTATCATTAACTAACGAATTGTTTAAGACCTATTTTCTGAACCTGTGCTCATGCAGTTGGGATGAAGGGTTGATAGTAGACACAGGGATTCTACTGCTTATTTTTCAGAGAATCTATACTGTGTGCATCTCAAACAATCTGCTTTCAGCATCTTTGTCTTTTCATTCAATTATCACAATGTAGTTTATTGTGTAAAGCTCTTCATTGCAAAAACTCCTTAAAGAATTCCAAGCCCAGCCTCTGTAGCTGGAAGTTTTTTCTAGTCCTGCCCAGCCCTGCAATTAGGACGAATCTCTCCCTTCCAATTATGTATAAAACTTTAGACTCACAAATGCAGGATAGATGATAGAATATTTTCTTTAATTTTGCCAAATACAAATAGACTAGATACTCTAACTGCAATTCTTTCTTGATAACTGTTTTCTTATATATAATTTTACTATGTTAAAGTTAAAACCTTCCTTTTTGATTAGACAGAAAAGGGGAAGTGCTGTGGGATGTCTTTCTGTAAGCTGTGAATATGTTTTCCTCTGATTGGTTGATAAATAAAGCTATTTGGCCAATGGTGAGGCAGAATAAGGTTAGGCGGTACATTCCAACTGGAGAGAGGGGAAGAGGAAAGGGGGTGGGGCAAAAGAGAAGCTGGGAGCCACCACCAGGAGAAGCAAGATGTAAAAGTACTGGTAAGCTACGGCCATGTGGCTACTTATAGATTAACAGAAATGGGTTAAGTTATAAGCTAGCAAAAATTTGAGCCATAGGCCACCCAGTTTGTAAATAACATAAGGCTCTGTGTGTTTACTTGGGTCCGAGGGGCTGCAGGACCATGGGTGAGAGAGATTTGTCTGTATCGCTGTTGGGGGTGGGTGGGCAGGACCCAAGAAACTTACAGCTACAAGCCTCAAAGGGAAAAAATAGCCAGTTGATTTTTGGACCAGCCAACTAATAAAACTCATATCATCTTTCGAAGTTCGAAGTCATCTATTCAATAAATAAAATAATATCACTGAATATATTTAGCGTATTGGATGTCACAGCCAATAATAAATAATAGATGACAGAAAACTAAATGAATAAATGATATCATTAAAGTAGATCAATTAACATAGAATCTTGTAGTTTATTTAGACATTAAATGCCGTACTTTATACAGGAGCTTCCTTCTTTGCAGTTTCTATTTGCACCTCCTTTCTGAAAGACTATAGAGCAGGTGGCTTAGTCTGACACTACCATTTCAAAGTCTGCAGACTTGCGCTGGTCTGTGCCAAACCATTTCATGAACTTCAATCTACAGGACTACCTGAGTGGCTATCATTGTGGCTCTGGCTGCTCTTGGTAGATTTAGCAAGTCTACTATTGTCCAGACACCAAATCACATCCTCTGTGTTGGTAATTTGATGTTTGGGAGTTTCCAACTTCTATTGCAAATCAAGAGAACTAGCTGCATTATCTACTCAAACTACAGGTGGGGAAACTCCTTCTTTAGGAATCTCTTGCAACAGACACCTCACTGAAGAAACTGAAGCACAGAAAAACAGAACAACATGTTTACTGTAGTACTTCCATAGTTAGAATCTAGCTAATCCTCCAGAAATCAAACTCAAATGCCACTTCTTACCACTATAATAAAGAATGGGTACATGGGAAAGAAACCCAGATAAGGAAAAACAATAGTATATTATTAAGACTATCTAGCAATATTTTGGTTTTTCATATACTGAAAATCAACTCTATTTTTTGAAATATCAAATCTACCACTTTACTCAGTGTAGAGAGTGCTGGACTTCTCCTTGGCACTGTTCTGGAACTAGAGGACCGGTGTCTAACATCTAATTTAAGAAAGAATTGGCAAAGGTCTCTTATTAGCAATCTCTGGTCTCTGAGAAAAGCAAAAGAGGTATAAAATTGAAATACTCATAATTTACCTCTCTGAACTGACTGCGGAGACAGCAGAGCTTGATAATTATCAGCCTATGCATATTAGTTTAAGTGGTGATAAACTGTGGCAGACTGGGCAGCTCCTACATGAAGTGACATCAAGACACTAGTGAATGAAAAACTCCCAAGGCAAACATAGCTTCTAAAGGATGGAAATGTATGTTTCCTTTTGGAGAATTGTTATTTTCCCACAAAGCATAAATTTTATCTATATGTATATGGCTTATTTCTCTAACTCATTAGATGGAACATAATAAGAGGTAGAGTCTAAGAGTAAATAATAATTAAAATTGCAGGACCCAATTGATTTTGAGTGACTTCTGTGGCTGAAATTTTATTTGCAACAAAATGTATGTGACTTGCCTCTTATACATAAATGAACTTTGTCATTTTAAACTACATAGTAATGCATTAGCTAAGCCTGCCACCTAGTGAAAATTTAAAAGTAATATTTATGCAAGAAAGTATTATAGGGCACTTTATATATAAAACACCACTTGTATTTAATTATAGTATTTATTTATATATTCATTTACTAATACATTTAATTATGTTTCTTTTAAATACTGATATCATAAATTTATTTCTCAGTCTTGATATTTGCTAAACACATTGTGAATGCTAAACAGTTTAGAAATAGCATTATATAAAAAGCCATTTTTCCCCCCGATACCAAGACTGTGATATAACAATACTGTAATTAATAAAATAATATAATTAGTTTTATTTTATCCTCTTGTTTGGTACTTTATTTTAATATAGACTGATATAATATAATTAAATAATTACAAATTTAAATAAAATAAAAAGTCACATCATCCCAAACAGATCACCCATTCAGAGGGCCTGATCCAGTTGGGGACCCCTCAGCCATTGGTTCATAGTTCATGTGTTTCCATTCATTTGGCTAT